TCACTTTCAGACCACATTCTGAAAACAATCTCAACTATTATACTAATAAATATTAGAGAGAGAAGAGCCTGGCCAGGCACTCTTGGGGAATTTTGGTCAGACAGATGTATGATGGAGATAGATACACACACACACACACACACACACATATATATATATATATATTGGTGCTGACTTGGGCTTTGCAAGCTTTGACTTTGAGAAACCTAGTTTTCCATGCTTAGGGAGGAGGAAAGATAGTACACCTCTTAGCAGAGCATGTAAGCCATGGACAAAGCCTAGAGGTGACCATGTAGGAAATCTTGGTGAATGTTAGCCAACCACTCCTGAAAGCTTTCCTTCACTGTGTTGACGGAAGCTAGGGCAGCAAAAGCACCTGTGTTCTGTGTTCACGGCCACTGTAATCGCAGTTCTGGAAATGGCACTGGGTCCACTCCTTTCAGAAAGTGCTTTCAGTGTCCCCTGACAGGCGTCAAGAGTGTGTTACAGGCAGAAGCTGTCAGAGTAATTGTGATTGACGGACAGTACATATACTTGTGATTCATATAGTAGGGACCATTGTCTCCATCTCATTCCAGATGAGCCCAAGTCCGGTTGGTTGACAATGTGCACGATTGCTCTCTCCCTCTCAAAAAAGAACATTACAGTATTTTTAAATGACAGCTGTTGGGTAAACAATGTCCCTCGAAGATATGAGGTTGTCAACTAAACAGGCTAGCATCATTCGTTTGTCACCAAAGCTGCTAAGCTTTGATAACAAAAAAAACAAACAAACAACAACATTGATTTATGAATATGTTTTATCCTTGAATGAGTGATTGAGAAACACCTGGAACTTCTTAGTTTTGAGAACAATTCCTCCTCTTTTCTTCTGAGGATCTATGTTTCATGCAGAGGTCAGTGGCTCTGGGCTGTGCTTTTCAATGTCTGTCTAACTGAAGTATCATTACTTCTGTTTTTAGGATGCTCAGCCTGCACCCCCCCCACCAAGTGTACAAGCTTCATTTCTCAAGGAACTTTTCAATTTCAAACTACATGTACAAATACAGTTTTCTTGATAGACTATTTTTGCACATGGAGTTTTTACTTTCTCCATTTTCTTGTTTCGGTTTCACTTTGGAAATCCTCAGATACGAAGCTGCTTTTTAATTAGTTGACTCACTGTGTGTAAAAGCCTCTGAGAAGTTGCTAGTAGCAGAGACCAAGAGATTCGCATAGCTCTTAGTCAGAAATCTAGGACTTTGAAAATGGCTTCCTTACTAAGTATTTTGCTAGACTAGACATGGATTTAAATCTGTTATCTTTTAGTACATGTGTGTTTGCTGTTTTATTTATTTATATTTGTATCTATAGCAGTCTGACATGATTTTTTTTTTTAAAATTGTAGTATCTGCTTGATCCCACAATTTTATTTTTATGTAGCTTTTCTCTTTTCCCTGATACTTTGGAATTTCTACAGTCTATCCCAGAAAATCCATCCTTAATTCTCTATTCCTTTTTGCCGTGAAAAGTAAAAATATATACCCTTGAACCCTTCTTCCCTATTTCCTTCAGCTCCTCTTTGCTTCCCTCCCATGCTGTCTCCCCCTTTCCATTCTCTTCTTTTCCCTTCCATCCTCTCTTCCCTTCTCTTTTCCTCCCTCCCTCCTTCTTTGGAGAAGAACTCATTATGTTGCCCAGGCTGATCAATGACTCTGGAGCTCGAGGAAGCACTGGACACAGCCTCCCCAGTACTTGGACCAGTAAGACAGAATTCATTTAACATTGTATTTATTTATTTGTGTTTTTCTGTGTGTCTTTGCTCAGGCATGTGTCACTGTGTGCCACTACATGCACATGGAGGTTGGAGGACAGCTTATGAGAGCAAGTTCTCCCCTTCCATCCTGTGGATTCCCAGGATTGAACTCAGATCTTCAGGCTTGGAGGCAAGTGCCTTGACTCTCTGGGCCATCTTGTCAGCTAGCCCAGGCCTCAAGTTCTTAAGAGACTTTCTTACCCTTCTCCCTGCTGTTATTTGGTTGGATTTATAACTCAGGACTTACAGTGCAGACTACTACTTTTAAGATGAAATAGTTTGTTTAATTTTCCTCTTTTGATTTTCATTTTTTTTCTTGTCTGAGTCTCTTTATTCATTTAACATAGTAATCTCCGGTTCTCTGCAAGGTGCACCTTTTTCAGTTCTGAAACCTTGACAATTTTGGCTAGGCCTATGCTACACAAGCAACTATGGGTGTCTGATTGACACACCAGTTCTTTTCCTTTGTATATAACCATGAGAAGAATTGGATCATGTGCTCCTTGTGGTTTTAGATTTTTGAAGAGCATCCATGTTGTTTGTTATAATGACTTTACTAAACGTCATTTCAACTAAGAGTGTAAATCTTCCCATATCTCTGCATTCCCACAAGCTTCTAATGCATTTTGTGGTTTTTTTTTTTTTGTTTTTTTTTTTTTTGTCTTTTTGGTTCCAGCTATCCTATCAAAATTGTATTTCTTGTGATTTTGGATTGTATTTCTCTGGTTGTTACTGATACGTCTATTGGACACCTATGCATTCTTTCTTGAGAAATATCTATTTAGGAGCTGGAGAGATGAGTCAATGGTTAAGATCACGGCACAGGGACAAATAGCCAAACAAATGGAAACACATGAACTATGAACCAATGGCTGAGGGGTCACCAACTGGATCAGGCCCTCTGAATGGGTGAGACAGTTGATTGGCTTGATCTGTTTGAGAGGCATCCAGGCAGTGGGACTAGGTCCTGTGCTCATTGCATGAGTTGGCTGTTTGAAACCTGGGGCCTAAGCAGGATCGCTTGGCTTGGCCTGGGAGGAGGGGACTGGACCTACCTGGACTGAGTCTACCAGGTTGATCTCAGTCCGTGGGGGAGGCTTTGCCCTGGAGGAGGTGGGAATGGGGGGGTGGGCTGGGGGGAAGGTGAGAGGGGCCGGTGGGGGGAGAACAAGGGAATCCGTGGCTGATATGTAGAACTGAATTGTATTGCAAAATAAAAATTAAAATTAAATTAAAAAAAATGAGATTCTGATCAGAAAAGGAAACTTGCTAGAGTGAGGAGACAACCTACAATGTAGCTTATAAGTAAGCTGTTCATCTGGCAAGCAATTAGACCTCAGAATGTAAAACAGACTCAACTGACTTCATCCTTGTGTTGGACTAGGTCTGTCCCCAACATGGTATGACAGCCTGTGTTGACTACCCAAGGGAAGTCTTAGGCTCTATGATCAGGGGATGAGGGTGGGGTGGGGGTAGGTGAGGAGGAGTGGGAGAAGAGGAGGGAGGGAGAATAGGAGTTGGTATGAAAAAGGAAAGAAAACTTTAAATTATATAAAAAAATTCTGAATTCAAAATGGACAAGTTATCCAAATAGATATCTTTTCATTTTATAAATTTTTATTTTATTATTTCATGCATATGTATATTTTGTCTCTATAGATGTCTGGTGCCCAGGGATGCTAGAAGAGGATTTGAGCCCTTCTGGAGGGAAATACAAGCAATTTAAGCCTTTATATGATAGTTGACATTTGAATCAAAGTCCTCTGGAAGAGAAACCCGTGATCTTAACCATTGATTTTCATTTTTAAGAACTCCATTCCATAGATGCCTAGAGTCATTTTTATTAACATATTTATTTGGACTTGTTATTTAGCTGGCTTCAGTGTTCACTGAAATTTTGTATTCTAAATTATTCTGGATAGCAAATGTATTCCTTCTTGTAAGCCAATGTGCTTAGTCAGTTTCCAAAGATTTTACAGGTGAATTTTGGAAATATCTCCCTTTGCTTTTGCTACAGTCAGGAGGTACAGTTCACTAGGCAAAACCTTTCCTCTGGAAACCATCACTGCTCCAGCAGGTACAGATGCTTTATTTTTATTTGCTTGGCCATTTGTAGCATTTTCTCATGTATCCATGTGATTGCAAACGTGCATATAAAAGCTGAGAGTTTAGAGTGAGGGTTTCCACTCTGTACTTATACATCTACCAGGATGCTCTGATGTCGCAAAGTAGAATCATGATGGGTTACCTACACAGATGACAGTCAGGACTGAACAAATAAACTCTGATTCTTTCTTATCTCAAGATTCTTCACCTCTGTAAAACAAAGACTTGATATTTATCACAGTTTAGAGTAATTGTGGCATATTTTAATGCAGCAGGTAACACAAACAGTACAAGAACAGAGCTGTAAGGTTGGTCTACTCTGTCTCCTCATGGACCCTGTGTTCAACTCTGTGGAGCTTCACTCTATTTACCACTATCCAGAGTCCACATAACATCTACAGCCCTGTCACTGTCTTACTTCGTAAGGATGGTCTGTTCTTACCAGGAAGTGGCAAGCTTCACAACCATTAACAAGTTGTAAAATGGTTGTATGTCCCATCAATTTCCAAATGGACAATCATATTTTACTTTTTGCTAGAGTAAAATTGTCTAAAGGATAATACTTTCAAGGTGAAAGTTTGTTTCCATTTCATGGCTGTTGTGAATAATGCTGCTGTTAACATGGGGATGCAGTTGGTCTCTTTTTTCCCCCTCGAATGTGTAGTTGTATTGTTGGATCATACTGTGATTTTCTTTGTAATTTGTTGAGGATTTTCTCCAGCAGCTATACTAATTTACATCTCCAGGAAAAGCATTTAGAGGCTCGTTTTCCTCCACATCCCTGCCCACTGTCTTTCATTTTTCTAATGATAACCCACTGTAACAGGAATGAGATGCTGCTGCACTTGATATTGCCTCATATTTCCCCGATGACCAATACCGTGGACTGTTTCTTCATATTCCTGATGAACTTTATACATCTTCTTCTGAGTAATGTCTGTTTAAGTGTTGCTCATCTTAAGTGGGTTATTTTTTTCCACTGTTGAGTTTTTTTGAATTTTGTATGGACTCTGAGCATTAACTCCTTATCATCTGTATTGTTTGCAAATATTTTCTCCTTCCTGCAAGTAGTGTCTTCATTCTGTCGATTATTCTTTTTAGAGCCTTTCCCCAGAAATCCAGTGTTAAGAAGCATTTCCTCTGTAGAGTTTCACAGTTCTGGATCTCATATATGTAAGTTTCCATACATTGTGATTTTATTTTTGTAATTAGTGAGAATAAGGGGTCTACTTTTATTCTTCTATGCTTGTATGCCCAGTTATCTAGTGCTACGGATTAAAAGAAAGAAATAAGAACATGCCTTTTCTGTAGACTATTCTTAGCATTGTTACTGACAGTCGTTTATGCTATAGATGCGTGATTACCTTTGGGTTTGTATTCTGCCTCACAGGCTTATATGTCTGTTTTAATGACAGTATCATGGTGTTTGGATTACTAAAACGAGTGTGTGTGTGTGTGTGTGTGTGTGTGTGTGTGTGTGTGTGTGTGTGTGCATGTGTGTGGGTGTTTTGAGACAGTGGCACATGTAGTCTAGACTGGCCTTTAATTACTATGTATTTGCGGATGACTCTGAATTGCTAATCCTCCTGCTTCCACCTCCTACATGCTGGATTACATGAGTGCATCACCACCCCTAACCCCTTCCCCTCTCTCTCTTGGATTGCTCTGTATAAGAAAGATAGGCTGGAAATGAGCCAGTAAACAGCACTCCTCCGTGGTTCTTGCCTCAACTTCTCTCAGTGAAGTATTGTGACCTGGAAGTGTTAGCCAAATACACCCCTTTCTCCCCAGTTTGCTTTTAGTCATGGTATTTTTCATAGCAATAGAAGGTAAACTATATCATTCATTGTTGGTGTGTAGCAGTACTGCTAATGTTGGCATGTTTATCATATCCTGCAACTCCTCAGAATTCGCTTATTAATTATGAGAGACTTTGTTCATTGTTTAGGGGTTTTCTGTATATAGTATGAGGTCAAGCCCACAACATGACTTCTTTGCCAATTCATATTGCGTTGTTTCTTTCTCTTGCCTGATTTTTTTCTGACTAGGACTCCTGGAGTCCAGTGAACAGAATTGGTAAAATTGGCCAACCTTGCCTTGTTCCAGATTTTAGTAGGAAAGCAATAAGCTTTGTCTTACTGCTGATTTGTACATTGAATCATTTTTGCAACCCTGAAATGAGTCATCCCTCACCATGGTAAATTCACCAGCATACTGTTGGGTTTGATTTACTGGAATTTTGTTGAGAATTTTGTAGTTATATTTATCACAGATACTTCCCTCAGTAGCTTGAGTCTTTCTCTGGTTTTGTCTTAGGGTAATATTGCTCTTATAGTTTTCAAGATTTCCCTTACAAATAAAAAAATGGTGTTAGTTTGTGTTTGAGATGCTTGGTAGTATCCAGGAGTGAAGCCATCTGGCTCTGCATTGTTCCTTGATGGAAGACTGTTTTTGTCACCAATTCAATCTCATTTACTATTAGTCCATGAAGTTTGCTGTTTCTTCCTGATTGATCCTAAAAGGCATGTGTATCCAAGAATTTGTTCCAGTTTTCAAAGCTATAAAACTTGTTGGAATCTAGTTATTGACAGTAATTTCTGGAGCCCCCTTCATTTCTGTGGTGTTTCAAGGTCTTTCCTTCTACCTCTGACTTTGTGTGTGTTTTCTCCCATTTCCTCTTACCTCTCTTAGCTGAGGGCTTCTCAGTTATCAATTTGATCTTTTTGAACAATCGACTCTCCATTTCATCAATCTTTAGAAGTACTTTTTCATCTGGATTCCATTACCGTCTGCTCCGATTGTTATCATGCCTACTTTCCCAGAAATTTTAAGTTTGGTTTGTCCTTGTGATGGGTCATCCTTTGAGATCAATCTGATTTCTTTGCAAGCATTGCTGAGTATCTAGATCCCCCTTGGGGCCACTTTCTCAGCTTCCTGGGAATCTGGTAGACCGTGCATCCACTTTCATTTGCCTGGAGCCAATCTTTTAATCCCTTTCCTTCTTTGATCCACTGTTGGTCCAATAGTTTGTTTCATTTCCACGTTACGTGTATGCTTTCAAAAGTCCCCCCCCCCCCCTTTGGAGGGTACAGACTTTTAGTTTTATTGCTTAGCTTCCAGAAGACATACTTGATTTGATTTCCATTATATGAATCTTTGAGACTTTCTTGTCATTGACCATATAATTTATTCTATGGAATGCTGCATGTGCTGATGAGAAGACATGTTCTGTAGCTACTACATAGACTATTCTGCAGCTGTCTGTTAGGTTCCTCGGTGGAGGGTGCACTTTAATGCTGCAGTTTCTTTAATGGCTTCCTCTTTGCATGATATGTCCCCTGCTGAAAGCGAGGTACCTAAGTCACCTACTGCTGTTGTGCAAACTAATTTGCCTTTCTCTTCATGCTTATTAATATTTGCCTTATGTACTTAGATGCTCCAATATTAAATGCAATTAGAATTTCAATTTGTTTTTGCTCAGTTGATCTCTCTATTGTTCTATAGAATGATTTTCTCTCTTTATACTGCATTTGATCATAAGTCAGTTTTACGAGATATAAGTACATCTAGCCTGCTTTCTTATGGATTCCATTTCTAGGAAATGTCTTATCCCAGCCCTTTACTTTCATTCATTTGTGTCCCTGAAGAGGAATTGAGTTTCTTATATGCAGCAGATAGTTAGGTCTTGCTTTTGATTTTCAGCCTATTCATCCACTCTATGTCTTGTAATTGGAGAACTTGATCCACTAACACTTAGGGTGCAAATCATACCGCAGCCATCTTGTAAGTCATTTTCCAGTCTTCTCGTAGTTTCTTTTCTCTCTTTCACACTCTCTTACGTCATTGCTTGTACTTACTTACTCTAACAGTATATTTTGTAGTCAATTGCTCTACCACTGAGATATATCCCCATCTAGTATTGTGTTTTGATTCCTTGATTGTTTTTTAGATTTGTCTATCATGAATTTTTGATATTTTGTTATCAATGAGACTTTCATATACGTTATTTTTTTTAAAAAAATGTTCTTTTGAGGATAGTGTTTCACTATGTAACTTTGCCTAGCCCCCAACACAGAGCTCCCCCCTGGGATTAAAGCATGATCCACCATGCTATTTTTAACAGACTTTACTTATTTACTTATTTATTTATGTATTAAAATGTTTTCTTTTATTTTTGAGATTATAAAATAATTACATCATGCCTCCCTTCCCTTTCCTTCCTCTAACCCTCCCATATACTCCCTTCTCTCTTTCAAATTCATGAACTCATTTCTTATCAATTGCTTTTACATGTGTATATGTATACGTATTCCTAAATATAACCTGCTCAGTATTTATGTTACTTGCATGTATGTTTTCAAGCCTGGACATTGGTACTGGATAAACAATTGATGTGCTCTTTCCTTGGGAAAATGGTTTTCCTATATTCAGCATATTTTAGTTGCCTGTAGTTCTTTTTGCAGGCTTGAGGCCTTGTGACTTTTCCCCTGTGTGCTTTGCTGTGCCTATTGCTGTTTTCCATGTTTAACTAGTCATGTTGGTGAAACTTTATGGGTGTAGCTCCTGACATTACTAGGAGACAGTCTACCAGCAAACTCCCTGATCCTCTGGCTCTCACAATATTTCTTCCCCCTCTTCCACAATGAACCTTGAGCCTTAGGTAGGGGACTGTTTTGCAGATATATCTATTGGGACTGGCACCACAACTCTGCATTTTGATTTTTTTTTTAAGTTTTCTGTAATGGTCTCTGTTTGTTGCAAAGAGAAATTTTCTTGATGAGCGGTGAGCACTACACTTACCTGTGAGTGTAAGGATGAATATTTAGAGTGTAGTTAGGGATATGCTAGTTTAGTAAGATGGTGGTTATACGTTCTTCTTTAAGATCCATGACTTTGCTAGCCCTGGGTAGTTTGCTAGGTTTCCAGTACCAGGTATGGTTTTTCTCTTGTTGACTGGGTCTTAAGTCAAGTTAGAGACCTGTTGGATACTGCCAATGTATGTGTGGTTGCACTAGGGTTATCATGCTATGTGGATTAACAGGCTGTTATTAACCAATAGCAATGTACTACAGTTATTAGGAGGAAGTAAGCAAGCAGCGGCTTTTTTGTCATCCTTCTTTCTCACCTCCCCCATTTTGACCTTTCTGTGCTCCAGTCTGTATGTTTCTGTAGTGACCACATCTTAACCACATCTATATTAATCAATCTAACTAATATAGTTACTACTATTTTTGTTATTAAGTCTTCATCCTAAAGATATGATAGCACATTCTCAACTTTTCATAATTATTCTTGTCTAAGAGTTTTATGCCTTTCAATGTTTTCTTGTTTATTAATGGAACATTTGGTCTTAGAATTCCTTTTAGTTCTTCATGTACAACAGGTATGGTTGGTTTATAGTATCTTAATTTTTGTTTGGCAATGTCTTTACTTCTCGTCTATTTCTAAAGGATAGCTTTGCTGGGTACAATATTCTCAGTTGGGAGTTTTTTCCCCTTAGTGCTATAAAAATCACATGCCACTCTCTCCTAGTCCCTCAGTAGATTTGAGGCATCCATATGTGTTATTTCTCCTCTTCTGCACCCCTGAGGATCTTCTCTTTTACATTTCAACATTGAAAGTTTATATCTTGGAGCAGACTCACTTGAGATGATTTTGATTTGCCTTATTTAATCTTCCTGTACCTGGATGCTTGTATTCGTCTATGAGCCTGGAAAGCTTTACTCCGGGCTCTCTCGAGGGCCAGTGCCAGTGTCCACTCTTTATGCTTCTCTGATGCTCCTGCAGGTTTTCTCCATCCATTTTTGTTCCTCAGCTCCACCGTGCATTTTCAAACAGTCCATCTTTTAGTCCCCTACTCTTCCCTCTCTTTCATCTAGTGTACTAGTGAACACCTTCTCTCGTGTATTTAATTTTATTAGTGTATTTTTTTCAGCTTAAATATCTGTTTGCCTTTTTAAATGGATTTACTCTCTTTGTTAAGTTTCTGAGTTAGAAATTTCTGTTTTCTTCAAGCTCATCGAGTTTCCTTTAAAGGGGTCTCAATCCAAGTGTTAACTCATGTTGGTGTGATTTTATCAGTTTCTGGTAACTTAATTTGACTGTTGAATGAGGTCATGCTTTCATGAGCTCTTTCTCTCTCTCTCTCTCTCTCTCTCTCTCTCTCTCTCTCTCTCTCTCTCTCTCTCTCTCTCTCTCTCTCTCTCTCTCTCTCTCTCTCTCTCTCTCTCTCTCACACACACACACACACACACACACCTGTGATCACTTTTATTGTTTCAGCAGAATGGTGCCCAAGTTCAAGGTCATTCTGTCTACTGTTGGTGTGCTGTCACTCTTTTACCACTAGAGGGCAATCCAAGCCTAGGATTCTCCTAATCCTGAAGTTGATGTCCTGCCCAACGAGAATTGGGAAACAGCTCAGAAGGGTGTTTCCTTCCCCTCCCTGGGGTTCATCTGCAGTCACAAGACCATATAGTTGTGACTTTCTGACTGGCTCATGGTTGAGGGGTCAGCTGCAGGTTCTTATGTTACTCCTGTGGCCGCCAATACTGCGTCACCCATTGAGCCCAGTGACCTCTGAGATGAGCCCTGAGGACAGCAAGGATCACAACGCTACGAACTACCTGTTGCTGAGGTGAACTCGTGGCCCAGAACTACTGCAGTCAACAACAGATTAGCTGAAGTCAAATGGACTGAGACCACTCTGTCACTGATGCCAATGCTATTCTAAAAGTTCTGTCTGAGGATATTGGTCTGGGAACGGAGACTTCTAGGATCTGTCCACCATCCTGGCATTGTGATCTAAGGTCAAATCCTATGCTCTATATTCCACTCTGTCCTACTATAAATGAATGGAGTCTTGCTTCATGCGGTGCTGTGTAATGCTGGCATAGTCACCCATCACTGGGGTGGACACAATTGGATTGAGTCTTAAGTTTCACATCTGCAAGGAACTACATGATCTCTGGGGGGCAGTAGGCCCACACCAGTTGTTGCTGATGCAGGCATAAATGTGAGGCTGTCTCACTGGAACTCAGCTCTCTGCCTGGAATAGGAAAGACTAAAGGCTCTGTCTTTGTTCACTGACCTGGTGCTAGCTCTGCTAACTAAAGTTGGGGGATTGGTCAAGGAGACAATTTTTTGGCTACGAAGCATGGTACTAGCTGGATCACATCTGAGTCTTAGAGCTAGGGGCACTTGTGAAGTTGAGGATGGTTGCCCTGTGACCATCCCAAACAATACTGAGTTGGAGTTCACCCACCATGGGTTCGAGATTAGCTCGAAACAAGGAACAGAACAGGGATGCAGAGCTACAGTAGAGACTGTATGTCACAGTAACATTTTAAATCTCCACTCTGGAGTGTGCATGTTTGCACTATAATAAGCCACAATTTACCTTTTGACACTCAGAGGACATTTCCCTCACTGCCAACTTATTTTTGTTACATGCTAATTTTGCAGCCTTTGTGTAAGGCATCCCAGACCTTACTCTGCCATATTCCTCTGTTTTACAAGATGCCAATAATTCCAGTTTCTTTCACTGGTACACAGGTGTGTGTGTGTGTGTGTGTGTGTGTAGCACGAATCTTAAAAGTTCTTATTAATAAAATCAAACCTGGGGCTGGGTATTGGGGTGAATGCTGGAAGATCAGAGAAGCAGAACAAGTCACAGCTACCTCACCTTGCCAATACCTCAGCCGATCCTGTTTCCTCAGACTGGAAGCCTCTGAGTCCTCATCCAAATGAATCTCAGCTGAACTGCTTTTTGAAAGCGTAAAAGCTTAACAAGCTCTAGTTACTGGTCCTCACACCTTAAATACCTTTCTGCTTTCTGCCATCACTTCCTGGGATTAAAGGCGTGTCACCATGCCTGGCTGTTTCCAGTGTGACCTTGAACTTACAGAGATCCAGATAGATTTCTGCCTCTGGAATGCTAGGATTAAAGGTGTGAGTGCCACCATTTTCTAGCCTCTGTGTCTAGTGGCTGTTCTGTTCTCTGGCCCCAGATAAGTTTATTAGGGTGCACAATATTTTGGGGAACACAATACCACCACAAGTGTGTGTGTGTGTGTGTGTGTGTGTGTGTGTGTGTGCGCTATTTGGGTAGGTATAGAGGTTCCCTGTGTGAGTTCTGGTCTATGTGGCCTGTTGACTATTTCCTGGTGTTTCGTCTCACAGTACTGAATGCATAATGAAGTCTTGTGGTAATTTTTATGCTGTGTACCCAGTAGGACAGTCTCGCCACTCTTTCTGCTGTCCAAGGTTGAAGGACAGTTAGGTGGTGAACTCAGGCAGGCATCATTCTAATGTGATTCCAGTGGTTCAGTCTATGAGTGCTGACCTGGGGGTTGGGAGGAACAGGATCCTGTTCAGCACTGGATTTCATCTTGTCACACCTGGTTTCTCTTCAAACAGGACAGTGTAGCTGAAGAGTGGAAAGGCAGCTCTTTCTCTGGACCTTCTTCAGGCATCTTTCAGCAGTATACCAGGATGTGATACTGTTGTCTCTCTCCTGCCATCACTGTGAACGGTTTGGTGTGTGAACAGCTGTGCACACTGGTGTGTCTACTGGAAGACTATGAGAGAATGAGCACGGTCAGCAGCCATTGTATTCCACTTGCTCCATATCATCTAATTTCTATAGCCATTTCTGGAACTTAATTTCTGTATCATTCATTTTATTTGAGTGTTGCTACAGCCTTGCCAACCATGTTTGAGCATCCTTTTACCATAGCAAAAAGGATTATTGGCTTCCCAATTCAGGCCACCACCTAAAATTCTCTCTGTCTCTTTCTCTGTGTGTCCATCTGCCTGTCTGTCTATCTGTCTGTCTGTCTCTCTACTGACCCCCTTGCCTAACTTTCTACTGGAGCATAAATCCGTATTCATTTCGTCTCCATGAACTCTGAGATCTTAACTATCATATCAGCTGCTATGGTTTCAACAGTTGAAAGAGGCCTGTCATGTAGAAGACAGTCAACAGAGATGTGCTTTTAAATAAATGGATCCTGATTACTTCATTCTGACTCTAAAGTATTTTCCAAAGCTCAATACAGTAAATTTTGGTTCTAAATGGTACAAATGACTGTTTTTTCATAAAACAAAGCAAAATTACAAAAAGAACACAAGAAAAATTCTCTTTTTTTGTCTCTTTCCTAGTCTGTATAAAAGCATAGAATTGTATCTAGATTTTTTTTTTCTAAAATACATGGTCCCTAATAATATATTTTATTTTGAATTCACTAAAAGTCACAGCATACTGTTACAGGTTTTTTTTTGCATCTCTTTCATAAGGTAAAACACCTCTTTGACTTCATTACTAATAGTGCATATTATATTTTTTCTCACCCATCTTATATTTTCAGGCCTAAAGAGGACCTTGTAACTCTTGTTACCTTGGAAATCCACTGTTGTGATCTGCTCTTTGCTGGGTTCTGCTGTATCTGCCCATGTGGGAAGATGAAACCTGGGTGGATTGGCCAGAAATCTAAACCTACTGCTGGGTGGAGGGAATCAATAAATCAATATAAACCTGCACGACATTGTTTCTGTGTATCAAGAGGATAAGGGGAAGAAACATGCATTCTGTCTAGAAAGAGTACCTAGGCTAGGATGCATATGGATGTTTTAGAAGGGATCATACTTTTAGTTGGTGATGACAGTTACTAATAAAGAACAGAACAGCAAAAATTGGTTTGATCTTTGCTTTTCCTGGAAGAAGTTTCTAGAATGCAGTTCCTGTGAGTAGGTGACTTACTGACCAAGGTGATGGAAGTACAAATAAGTTAGGTTCACCCCAACACTTGCCTGTTAGAATAATGTATGAAGCTGAGGGGAAATATGGCTACTGAGTGATGGACACAGCATTAAGATCCCACATAGAGATTATAGAGATTACAAGTTAAATTAGGGATGGAATAGATGATTTCACTGGCACTGGAGAAACCTCAAATTAAAAAAAATAGCTTAAGATCTTGAATGCCTGACTGGAGACAAAGATGAAGGAAAAATACAGCAGTGTATGTCCATAAAGGAGAATATGACAAACAAGACCAATGCTCTCCCTGTCTCCCTTCTCTCCTTCTCCATTCTTCTCTCTGCATGCGTGTTTCTAATCGTGGATTAAGTTAGACATCAGTTGGAATGAGTGGTGCCCTAGGACTTACGAGATTGACAGTGACATACTAATCACAGTGGACATGTGAACCCTAGAAGGGTCTCAAATCACTTCTGCTGCTGGACTTAGTATTCCCCTTCCTCCTCCTGGACAGCCATCCTTGTATCACATACTGGGGTAATTTACTACAGACTCTCATGGTGCTATTTCCCTAAAATGTGAATCATATAGCTTCTTTAGGATAGTAATGGCACATGCTATAGGGCATAATGGCATTTATTTACAAAATACCCACTTTCCTAATAGCTCCCACAGGCAGAAAAATACAAACATGAAAGTAACAATTGTGATTACTACAAACTTTAGGTTTTCTTTTAGTGTGTATGTGCTCTTATTTGTGTGTACATGCACATGTGTGCATATGTATTTAGAGATCAGAGAGCAATGTCAGGTGTCCTTCTCAGATTTTCTAGCATTTGTTGAGAGTATGAAGTTTTATTTTCCAAATAAACAATGATGTAATGGTAGTCACAAACACTCTTGACACAAACAAGCCATCGTGTGTTCTCCCAAATTCAACACGTTTATTTTAGTTTAGTATTTAATGGCTTCATAAAGCTCTGACAAACCTAAGAGCAGGTGCAGTTTTAGAAAGAGAAAAGGCCTCAGAACATGCTGACTGTGGATGTTTGGCCTCATCATCTGTAGCCTTGAAATTCCCTTAGCTTATTAGTCAAAATTTTCAGTAGCACACAGTAGGGACTTGTAAGAAGAGTAACATATGAAATACTGTGAGAAATCTCACAGATTTTGAGTATGTAAGTGGGAAAGAAAATATTCACAAGATGATGTTAGAATAGACATGCTCGAAAAGACACTCTCTTGACTATATTTATTTTTGAAATGTCAGTTCCCAGCTTAATATGATTGTTTTCATGGTGTGTATGAGATGCAGCATTTCAGTCACCAATGCAAACATTCAGAAGGGTACATTAGAATTGTCAGTGTTTTGAGCCCCTTTGAAAAGTGATTATAAAGCTGCACATGGCTATTTAAATATTTTAAAATTAACAAATTATTTACTGAGCTCTTCCTATTTTGGGAGGAAATTTAGAAATAAGTAAAGCAGAGGCTTATCCCACAAGATTTTTCAACCTTTTGCTTATGAAATCAGTGAAGAGTTTAGATTAATCTTATGGTAAAAGATAGGGCTCAATATTGAGAGACAGACACACATTTCTGAGTGAATATAAATTCCTATAGCATTTAGGGAAATACTTAATTTTTATTGAAAGCATGCATTACTCTTTTTAGCATGCATGTAATTAGCTGTGCATGCAGTCTGATTTACGCTCAGCTGTGTTTAACAAGTACCGATCACATGGTGGATCCAAGGCAATCTAGAAGTTAAAAAGTAGGGTCTGTTAATTCACTGGAGTGAGGTGGACATCGGCAGTGCACACATATGTACGTATGAGTACAGACACAGGGAATGCACACTCCTATGCAGCCTCATTTCTGAGCATGAGGCTCAGAGTACTGTCCTACCCAGCTTGTTCCCTTTGTTCTCGGCCACAGACCTAAGCTAATTGGGATTCTTGATGTAGCTGAGTGACCTACATTCCATTTCTAATGCAACTGTGCCCTCACATCTGTTTTCATTTGCAATTCTTCATTAACTTTAAAAATCTTTATTATTTATTTACAGTATTGGCGATTGAACCAAGGGCTCCACACATGCTAAGCAAGTGCTTAACCACTGGACTCCATCTTTAGCCCAATTTTGCAATAGCCTTTACTTCTGGACCTGAAAATACTAAACTACACTCTCTAGAAGGCCTTGACTTCATGTATAGGTCTAAAAGCCTTAGTATACTTTGAATATGATTGGTCCCCATGGACTCATGTGTCTGAGCATGTTGTCCTCAGATGGTGGCTCTGTTGTGGGGGGTTGGGAAACCTTTAGGAGGTGAGCCTAGTTGGAGGGAATGAACTATTGGTGTGTGTGGTAGAGAGCTTGATGTTGATAGCTAAGCCCTGATCATGGCCCTCTTTCTGTTTCCTGCTCTGCTGATATGTGAGAAAGTGCCAGTCAGATGACTCCAACTGCTGTAGAGCTATCTGCAATCATGTGTTCTCCACAGCGGTGGGCTGTGTCTTCTCTAACAGGGAGCCAAAAGAAAGCCTTCCTCCCGAGGTTGCTTCTTGTGAGATTCTTGGTCACAACAACAAGATTAATTATTTCATGCCCCCTTGTTTAGCAGCACCCCGACTTCTTTGATATAAATAAGAGTGAGTGTTTCCTCTAGCCTGCGATATCAAGGCATATCTTCACAGGTTCAGTGGCTGTGGACATGATGAACAGACTGCAGCCCTAACTGTAAATTTTCTAGAAGTCCAGTTACCATCTCCATCTCAAAGTCTTGTTCTTTTTGGGGAGAACTTACAAGAGAATTAGAAAATCTAAACGATATAGGGAGAAGAAACATAATACTAGAGAATGGATGATGGTTATCTGGAGCGGTGTTGGAGAACCCCTTAAGCTTCAAAGCCAGGAATTGCAGCATTATGGCAAAGATAATACACTCCATTGATAGGGATATTTGCAGGGTAAAGTAATCTAGCTGCTTCTCTGGTCACAATATCAGTTACCCAGAGCTTCTGCTGTTGAGATGTTCATCATTGAAAATTTGGAAAGTTTTGGTCATTAAATTGTTGCTTCTACATCTAGGGAATAATCAAAGATGTGTTTCAGTTGCTCCTTGGATCACTGCATCGCCATCTTTACCCCTCTTTAGGCTAAATCCACATCAGGGAACCATATGTGCAATGTCTCTAAAGTGTCTACGAGAAGGAAATACCAAAGTAAGGACACAGTAAGTTTCCCTCTGCATCGTTGGCCTGTCTCAAGAAGTAAGTGTACATGATCTAAATTCATCTGCTTACCCCCTGCTACAATAATTCAATCCTTCCTCCGAACTACTATCCGGAGCTATAGGGACTGGTCGAATGTTAGCAGGCCAGTTGTCTTTGGTGTCATAGATACACCCTAGCGTCTGCGTACACTCTAGAATAAAGTGTGTATCGGGGGGTTGTTATAATTAGTTGTATTTCTGGGACTCCTTTGGTCTGAAACATTGCTCACCTTTCCTTTGACCTTAGTATTGCATCTTTTAAGGATGAAATTTTCTGGTGTGTGATTTTTTTTTAAATTTGACTAAGATCATATTTTTATGGCAAATATATTGCAGGCACAATTCTCTGATTCTCTCATTATGTTCTATCATGTTACTATTTTTCATATTCTCATTATTAAAGATGTTCACTCTGTGTACTCGTCATCACGGTGTTTTCTGAGTTCTCTGTTATGGCTGCTCTTACACTTCGTGATTTTTTTTTGGACGTAGGTATTTGAGACTTAGTACCTTTGTGATTAAACTTCCAGTTTCTTCATTCACTTTTTTTCTATATCAATTTCTTGTAGCTTTTATATGGAGAATTATAACTTATTTATATCAGTTCTTTATCCTTTCTTGGATAATGATACTCCATGCCTCCATTTCCCTTTACGACAGAGTGTATTTGATAGGAGAACTTAATTCTTCTCATATGAGCTCGACTTTTAACCTAGCTTAACAATTATCAGACATTTCTCAATGTTATTAGCTTTAATGCTTCATTTCTGTTTGGCTCAAGTCCAGCCATGAACAAACATGTCTCCTAAAACCCATTCATAACCTACTTAAGTTGGGCAGTGTGTAGACCCTGGGTTTGTTAATTCTGTCTGTGTTTGTTGAATTCATTTCTCTGGAATCATCTGGGTTTGCCTTAACTGCACTGGAGCTCCACTTGCCAAAAAAGTTTACGTTGGACATACTCCTTCTTTAACAGGCTTTACTCACAGGTTTCTTCCCAGAGGAAATCAAACCACAATTAGTCAAATATTTTAGCCTTTTTCCAACTGGCTCTTCACTTAGACTTAAGTCGTGTCTTTTCTCAAAGAACTCTCATTTCTGTGATGTCTTCTTACATCTGACTCTGTAGCACAAATGTTTTCAGTTCTCCTTTAACAAACAATAGCTATGCCACCTGTCTTCAGACACTTCCATGCAGGGAAGCTTGTGGAGTGGATGTTTTCCGGCTGATCTACGATTCAATCTCTTCACATCATTTGTGAGATAGAATGTGGAACTGCACAAACTAATTATCTGCTAGGTGATGTCTCATTTCCTACTTGAAAAGTGCAAAAGATTAGCATGTTTAAATTAAAGCAGACCTACTCACAGAGGATTAATTACTTGGCATACCGACAAGAAGTCATTGTATTATTAGTACGACGAATAAGGAAAACTGTTTCTATAAGAAAGAATGATAATGAATGATCCCCCACTAAAACACCAGTAGAGAGGAGAGGTGAACAGTGACAGCATGGATAGTTGTTACCCAAATATAAATTTTAAAACAGGACTGGTCTTAATTATT